TGGCGGGTCCGGGCTGGGGATTCGAACCCGCCACCTTAGGTGTATGTGGCTGGCGCCTTAGCTGGTTGAGCTATAGGCGCTGAGCCACAATTATCAATTCTTAAAAACCTTTTCCAGGGTGTGCTCAGAGCAGGGGGCCTAAAAATAGCTCCTCTGTTTATTATACACCTGAAAAGAATCTAGGGTCATTGTGATGAGGGGCACAAAACTTGTGGCCTTTCTACGAAAAAATTCCTTACATGTGAAGAAGAAGAAAAACAATATGAATGTATGTGAGGGGTATATGGCTGATCACTGTAGAATTCTTTCAACTGTACCATATGTTTGAAAAATTGCCTAATAGAATATTGGAAAATTAAAGAAAAAGTAAAAAACCCTTTCCTGTCAATGCTGGTCTTGAATGGCAATGGACAGCACTCGGCTCCTCTTTGCTTGGCCTTTCCCCAAATCCTTCCTCTTACTTTTCTCATTTAAGAAGACGCAGTTCCACAGACATAGGCCCTTTTGAATTATAAAAGGGAGATTTTTCTCTCAGTCTATTTCCCCTCCCTCTCCAGTCCATTTCTCCACTACTTTTAATTGCATTCAACCCACACATATTAAACACATAGGACAGAATGCCAGAGACATATTGATGTCTTGATGTATGGGTGACATGCTACATTTTTAGAATGACAATGAAAAAAATATGAGCTTAGGCTCTTCCCCAATATGTAGCAGACTACCCATACTTCCTAGCAGGAAGCCCAGGCTGAGGTCGTGGTTTAAAACTCAGGAAGGACATCTGTGATGACAGAGCTCACAAAAACAGATGGTTTCTTGAGTTGCTGGGAGACTGAGTTGATTATTTATTAGGAAAAAAAAAAGCATAGTATATACAGTAGAACCTCTGTGAATTGGCCACCCAAGGGACTGGACCAAACTGGTCAACATACAGAGGTGGTCAACATAAGGAACTAGGCCAATGTACTGATACGTACATGTGGTGCCCGTCCAGTCTATGAAAATCAGGTCAACTTAATGAAGTGGTCAGTGTAGGGAGGTGGTCAGCCATGGAGGTTCTACTGTTTTACACATGGAGAAATACTTTTAAGTTACTTAAAAAGTCTGTTAATTCATAGTAGTAAGTGTACACTGTGCTTCTTCAGTCACTTGAATAAATAATTGGAGCAACATTTTCTTTCTTTTTTTCTTTCTTTTAGATACTTTCATAGATAAAGTTTATTGCAAAAGAGAAGGTCAGTTTACAGAATAAGAGCAAGATCTGTTCACCAGAGACAGTGAATGAGCCCTCATTGCCAAGGCAAGTGGGCAAAGAGGCAAAGAGGCCGAGTGATATTTTCTTGAGTCACCTTGTATCTTCTCAGACCCTCTGTTCATCTTATACTTGGTCAAGAAATTTGTCTGGGTGATAGTCAAAGAACTGAGTCCTGAGAAAACTGTCAGAATCTCTATAAATTTATAAAATTCCGTATTTTCTAGTGGTGGTTGGCATAAAAGGAATCAAACATGGCACTCGGTGCCTTCAGTGTCCACATAAATGTCAGGTCAGGGTCCAAAAGACTTATTTTTAACAGCACAAACTGCTGACCTGTCTCCAGAGAACTGAGAGTTTTCATCAGAATTCTCAGGAGCAGGGCTTAGGCAGGACCAGGGAGAGAGGAAGACTTGATGTCCTTGGCAGCTGAACAGCCACACCAATTTAGATTTTGGAAGCCTTGAGCAATTAGCAGGTCACCATGCCATCTGCAGGCATTAATTGGCTTCCCTGACCACCTGCTGCTGAGAGTTTGCTTTATTTGACAAATGGCAAGTGAGACCAGAAGGTTAAAGAGCAGTGGTGACTATTGCTAGCTTCTCATTTGGCAAGTGTCTACAACAGGCCAGCTATTGTACACTTATTTTGTGTAAGCTTGGCAACAAGATTTAGCACTGTGATTGCAACATTATATAGCAACATAGGAATTATTCCCATGCCCATTTTCAGATGAGATAACTAAGGCTCAGAAAGGGACTTACCCAAGGCTATGTGGCTAATAAGCAACTGGGATAAGTACGTACCACCCTGATACATTGCCACTGCAAATAAAGTGAATGATCTGTACTTCATTAGTTATTTTAAGAGTGCACAAAATGAGCAGAAGTCTTGTTTTTCTTCTTCTCTTTTTTTTTGAGACAGAGCCTCAAGCTATGGCCCGGTAGAGTGCCGTGGCATCACAGCTCACAGCAACCTCAAACTCTTGGGCTTAAGCAATTCTCTTGCCTCTGCCTCCCAAGTAGCTGGGACTACAGCCACCCTCCACAATAGCCAGCTATTTTTTGGTTGTAGTTGTCATTGTTGTTTGGCAGGCCTAGGCCGGATTCGAACTCACCAGCTCAGGTGTATGTGGCTGGTGCCTTAGCCACTGAGCTGCAGGCGCCACCCTTGTTTTCATTATTTTTTACAGATCTGATGGAAATAAGACACACTCTTATAAGTACAGTTGACCCCAGACAATGTAGGATTAGGGGTGTTGACTGCAAGCACAGCTGAAAATTCTTGTAACATTTGATTCTCCAAAACTTGACTGCTAATAGTCTTAGAGTTGACCAGAAACCGTACCGATGATACAAACAGTTGATTAACATGAGTTTTGTATGTTTATACATATTATCTACTATGCTCTGACAATAAAGTAACCCACAAAAAAGAAAATGTTATTAAGAAAATCATAACGAAGAGAAAATATATTTATGCTTCATTAAGTGGAAGATGATCATCGTAAGGGTCTTAATGCTTGTGGCTATCATGTGGAATAGGCAAAGGAAGAGGCAGGATTGGTCTTGCTGTCTTGGGCAGGCTGAGGCAGAAGAAAATCCTTCAGTTGATCTGCACAAGTCAAAACTGTGTTGTTCAAGGGCCACCTGTATAAGAATATTTATAAACAACAGAGAGAATTGCCTAGTTGGAGAGGTAAGGACACAGGTAATGGCAGAAGGGACACAGAGGATAAGATGCCTAAAACTCCTGTAAACTTAGGACAGTAGAATCATTGGGTATTTGGAACTAAAGGCCATGTGGTCACGGCCACAAAATTTAAATTCCATGAGGGTAGGGACTTTCTCTTATTCACTAATGTAAAATGATGTGAGATACATAGTAGATGTTTCAGATTAATTACTAAATGAACATTTGATTATATACAAGTTTCTTGGCTGATTTTCCAGCCTCCTCCACAGCATTTCATTTGCCTGGGTGACATTTATTAGGGTGTACCAAACTAGTGCTTGGCCTTTCCATGTTTGTGGTCCCTTTTTAAATGCTAGAGGATTTGGCAGCACATATGAAGAGATTAAATGTTTTAAAACTACATTTGATGAGATAATAATGATTAGTGTACAATTACTACTATATCCCAGCAAAAATAGTGTTTGAATAACACAGTTATTTTATGGACACTTCACTTTCTGGACACTTTCTGGACACTTCACTTATTCACTGTACAGACACTGTTGGTTACATCCTTTTCTGGTGTATCTCATGTCCCATTGCAGAAGCTAAAAATGTCAGACATTTGCTTCTCAGACCCCCCTGCAGCTAGGCCTTGGCCATGTGGTTCAATATTGGTAAATGGTACTTGAGGGAAATGTGACTTTAAAAAAGAAAACCACTGGCTGGTTATTACCATGTTTACCTGGGAGGACTGGAACTACGGCAGACATTCTGCAACCATGAGCATAGATTTCAGGAGCTTAGGTTTAAAGATCAGACAAATGGAATGAGTCTGGGATTTAAGGACACAGTTAAGCTACTGATACAAACTTGGGACTGTCTTCCTCTAGATTTTTTTGTTTGAAAGATAATAAATGTTCTTACATTAGATCCCTTTTTTGCTGGTTATTCTATTCATAGCAGACAAGAAGTATCCTTGAGTACTCCTGTTGTTTAAATAGAACTACTTGTGGACCAGTAACCCTTTCCTCTACTCTTAGGAAGAAAATTCCTGACATTTTCTAGTAATATGTGATTTATTTGGGGGAGTCCAAACTGGGGGTCTTTCTCTTTCCATATTCTCTCCCTATTCATCATATGATGAGTGTAGCAGTTAGAGTACTTATAGTTCACAATAGGACATGGTACCTGTGGGGTGCTTGAGGTATATCAGCGCGTCATAGCAGATCGGGTGGGAGTCACTACCATGTTGAAACGCCCTGCCTCAGTGTCTTGTCTTCCACAGATTGCCTTTTTCTTAGAAGGCTGGAGGATAACTTATTGATCATTGCATCCCCATGGCCTGGCCAAGACCTCTGCCGTGTAATCACAATAATAACTAATATACACTGACTGTTTATTTATGACAGACATGATTATTAATTATTTTGGATACATTAACTCGTTTAACTTCACAACATCCAAAGAGTTGGTGACCCAGGAAGTGAACCAGGCCAATGGTTCAGAGCTTAAATGTGAGCCCATTATATGCCGCCTCTCACTGATAAATGCTTCCCAGTAAACCTTTTCTGAATTGAAAACTACTGAAATGGCTCCTCGACATCATGCTCTCCATGTGATAGGCACTCAGTAAATATCGTTGGTTGGAGTCCAGCCCCTGCTCACTTACTCTGGATACAAGGGAGAAGTGTCTCTGGAGAGGCTGTCTTTTGAGTAGGGCTCTAAAAAAGACAGCCGCTCTTGGGCACCCTGGAACCATTTCCTTTAGGCGCCAGCTCAGGTTCAGCCCAGGTCCTGACTCAGCAGGCAGTGATATCCGTGTGACAGACCAAGGGGAATAAGTGGTGACTTTAGCCTAGAGGGGAATGGAAAAGAAATCCTTTGGCAAATCTAACCTCTCTGCTGGCAGCCCAATCAGAGGGCAGAAAGAGCTCCATGGTTCTCCCTGTTGCCTCGGGCTGGCATTTCTCTGAAGTAAACTGAAGTCTGATCTCACCTTTTCTGCCCATGCCAGAAAGCTGAGAGAGAGCTGTGAGAGAGAGGAAGGACCAGGAGAGGTCTCCTCCTAGTGTACCCTTACTCATGGCGTCGATGGGGGAAGTGGCAGAATACAGCAGCATGAGGGAAGAGTCAGAGATGGGAGTTACTTTGGTCATGGTGCTATATTTTGTATGATACTTAGTAAATGCTGACTTATAGAACTTTGTAATACAGGGTATGTAATGACACAAAGAGGATATGTATTTTAAAATACCTATATGAAAGAGAAGATATCCTATATTTAAATGGGGAACATTTGTTAGCAATAGTG